CAAACTTTTAATACATCACAAAACATATTTTAACAGTTCTGAGGTTGATCAAAGTGAGAAATTTTCTCGGCGTACCGCTGTGAGATTATTTTGAGAGCATTGTATTTTTCTTATACTAAAAAAGGCTCTATTAAACGTTACTTTCAAAGTATTTACATTGACTTGAATGGTAGGTAAGTACGTAATATTAGAAACATTCTTGAGCGGATATTCAGCGGGGGTCTTGCGCCTGTGCTACCCTACATCCGCACTTGTGTTGTAGATACCCGCTTTTGTTCGTAATCACAGAACATGCGTGAGCCTATGAATAATTTAAGAGCTCTCGGTCCTATCTGACACGAAATCGAAGGGAAATAGTTTGTTAATTTTGTGATCGCGTTGCCGATGTATATGTGTTGATTTTAATTATGAAGGCTATAATGTAAGAGTGAAAATCTTCTGCTAGAAATCCTGTTTTTCTAATAAACCAGTCAAGGGAGGTGGATCAAAGACGTTTTGGAATACGATCGTACACGCAAATGAAATTGTTTTAATAATTGTTTGCTTTTATAATGGTGTATATTTTCGCACCATAAAAAATAACAATGCTGTAATCAATTGTAAAGTGAATCATGAAAAACCACAAGCTTTTAAATATGATCAATTGCCACTGCCTATAAAAAATGTTGCAACTAATTTAAGAATAAAATCATAAAGTCGATAAAAAATATTTACTCACTGACTTAGTTACGTTCTTACTAATTAACTATTGATTTGTCCCTATTTTATTTAATAGTATTTGTTTTTTTTTTTAGATATTAAAAACTAACTTTGGGTACATACTTAAAAAAAAAATTAGAATTGCATAAAAAATTTGCTCAGGTAAATATTGAACTGTTTTGAGTTGACGTCGATTTCTTTTACTTTTTCATCTTCGTCACCCACGTAAGGGTTCCTTCCTGTTACAGATAGGCGAACTGGACTGCATATTTGTAGAAACTTTAAGTGACGAACTGCCTGATAAGTCTCTTTGAAATGTTGGAATTAAAATAATTAATTCTAATCACTTGTTTTTTAACACTATAAACATTGCATTGTATCACATAATAATTTTACATGTATTTTATGAGTGTTTAAAATTTTATAACGAACATGTAAGTTTGAAGAGTGGCACAAAATTGATCGAAAACATTTGATCGAATACATTTGATCGAATGCATTTGATCAAAAAAACATTTTATCGAATAACAATTGATCGAAAAGAAAAATGATCGAACAGAAAAATGATCGAAAAGAAAACTAATTGAAAATAGATTTGATAGAAAAAGCAATTGATCGAAAAACCAAATATTCATAAAATTATAAACTAATTTACCTAACCTGTGTGGCCTAGAATCATCATTGGTTGCTTCGCAAAAACAAAAAATGAAAAATAAAATAAAGTTAAGTGAAGTACCTAACTAACCCAACTTGTGAAAGAGCAATCAGTTAAATTTGAATAGCACAGGTTGGATAAATTGTTTTTTTTTTTTATTTTTATTATTTTTTTTTGCGAGGCAAACCGCGACCTTTTCAGACTGGAGCAATTTAACTGATTGCTCTGATATAGGTTAGGTATAGTGATGGACGATATAGTGATTTTTCAATCACGTTGTAAAACGTTACTGTTACTTTTTGATATCAGTGATTGAAAAGCGTGACGTGATCACGACCTCTAAATTTCACGCGTTCGATAACAAGTCGCGTTGTCAAGATAGATACCAAATAATAAAAAATATATGAAAGAAAAAGAACCATAATGATATCCTTCCGTGATTTAGTATAGCCAAACGAAGGACAATAAGTCACGATGTCGTATGCCACGAGTGTTATTACAATTGAGATTTGCGAAAATCGACCTTATAAGCATACGTTTGTCAATAAGTCACGGAGTCGCCTACTACCTATTATATTTTAAATGATTTAAAGCGAAAATCGACTTAATGACGTGACTGAAGGTAATACCGGTATTGCAAAAGCCTAAAAAGTTTGAGTACGAAATAAGAAACCAATACTGTGTGTGAGCGTGATCACTTCACGACTTTTTTCACAAGTTGGTAACGGGAACGACTTGATATTTGTTGGTATTAGTGATTAAATCACAGTTCGTGAAATATCGCTTTCACTAGTCAGGTAAGTTAGTTAAGTTTTATAAAAATAAATAAAAATAAAGAAAACCTAACTAATTTACCTAACCTGTGCGGCCTAGGGTAATTTAACTGATTATTCTAACAGAGCTTAGGTAAGTTAGGGCCATTCGCACCACTATTCGTTAAGCGATAAGCTGAGGTTAAATTGACATTGAATGACATTTTCATTCGCACCGTCATTTTTCTTTTCGTTAAGTAGTAGTTATTAAAAGTTTACCTAAACTGTAAATATTTGAGGTTTAAGATTTTAACGAAAGAAAATTGACAGTATGTGACAGATTTGTCAAATTGATAATTACGTGAAAAGAGCCATTATTTTTTTAAAATTTGGTGTGGTGTCCAAATTAAAATTGATTTACTGTTAAGGGATGATGACGATGATGAATTGGAAGCTGTTGAATTAATATTAAATGGAATTCCGCGAAGAGTGTATACGACAAGCTAATATTTTGATAGTTTCGATCCACAGACCTTTTTTCTAAGATTTCGGTTATCAAAAGAGGCTGTTTTGGAAATATTATCGCAAATAGAGAATAATTTGAAATTTCCATATAATATGTTTGTATTAAATCCTACAATATTGGTATACATTTTGTGAGTTTATTCGATTTTTTTTAATGAATCCTATTAAAGAACAAGAAGCACCCTTGAGTAATATATGTAGAAGTACTACTTTGAAAATGAGATCAATTTTCTTCAAGTTCTTGAACAATTTAGAGACCCTGACCTACCACCCCTACATGATTATGTTGCCATCAACCTCAGAAATGAGTTAATAGATTACTTTGAAGCCCATGATAATAGATTTGTATAATTCTTCAATAAAAATATAATTTTTAATATTTTTTTATAACTTTTTTTCTTACTAATAACTCTTGAAATAACCAAAAAACCAGTTTTTTAGTAAATATATTTTATGTTAAATACAATAAAAACGGAAAAATCGATAAATAAAGACAAAAAAAATTATTTAGAAATCAATTATAGCAAAAAACCATAAAACCATAAATCTAAGTATCTGAAAAGCAATCTTATACGTGGGTCATGATAAAAAAAAGAAGAAAATCTCATAGTTGCCAAGTATTTTATTCGTTAAATAAGGCGTTGATTAAAAGCTGTTGGTGCGAACCATCATATTATAAACTTCACGTTAAATTTATCTAAAGCTTAGTTAACGAATACTTTTATGTGGTACCCGTGCGAATGGCCCTTAGTTAGGTTTTTTAAAAACTTAATTAACTTACCTAAAACTTAACTAACTTACCTAACCTATGTCAGAGCAATCAGTTAAATTACTCCAGGCCGCACAGGTTAAGTAAATAGGTTAGGTTTTCTTTATTTATCTCTCTTTTCTATAATTTTTTTGCGAAGCCACAATCGAGGGCTCCAGGCTGAACAGGTTAGCTAAATTAATTAAAGTTTTTGTTTTCAGTTTTCTTATTTTTCAATATTTTTTTTTGCAAGGATAACCGCGTAGGATCCAGGCCGCACAGGTTAGATAAATTAATTAAGTTTTTTATAATAAAAAAACTAAACTAACTTACCTAACATACGCGAGAGCAATCAGTTAAATTTAAATATTGCAGATTAGGTAAATTAGGTAAGTTTTTATTTCTCCCTATTTTGCATATTTTTTTTGCCAAGCAACCCTCGAGGGCTCCAGGCCGCACAGGTTAGGTAAAGTTGTTAAAATTTTTGTTTGAATTTTTCTTATTTTTCTATATTTTTTTGCGAGGCAAACCGCGACGACTACAGGTCGCACAGGTTAGGTAAATTATTTAATTTTTTTTATATAAAAAATCCTAAAATAATTTACCTAAAATGTCCCATCGGGAGACAACTTGACCTTATTTAAATACATATTTTGTGCGAATTAATCACATTTTTTTAATCAAAATGAAGATAAATTACCGTTTAGCTCTAAAATAATTATTTTTAAATAAACAGTATTGTAAGGATAAAATTTGTTGAACGATGTAGCTATCATTTGAGATTATTGAAAAATTTGCCATTAGTACATAATTTTGATAGTCGCTTAGTGTAGTTTCCTTGGTAGTAGGGATTAGACGGATGGTTGAATGGTATCGTTTAATTTTTTGATATTTTACTATTTTTAATGTTGATTTTCAATATATTGTCCTTTCGATCTAATGAATTTTCGATCTATTGTCTTTTCGATAAAATGTTATTCGATAAAATATATTTTCGATCAAATGTTATTTGACCAAATGTATTTTCGATCAAATACCATTTAATAAAATGTATTTTATCTCATCAGTCCATTATTTTGTTGAATATTAGAAAACGCCCAAACCAGAGATCTAATCTCTGGCCCTAACTAAGATTAGTATTTGACTGTTATTTTGACAATAATATAATTAATAATTAATTCACCAGTAAACATAAATGCGGTAAAAAAGCAACTTTGTATTGCTAATAATCATTGATCAGCATATAGCTGCTGACTCCAAAAAAAATGTGGGACGTGATTGATAAATTAAATGGTATCCCACGAGTAATCAAAGGCTGTAAGTACAGGAGAAAAGTATGTATTATTGTCTGTACTATTATCTATTAGTATCAAAATAGATGTATTGCATAAATAAATTATTATTAACTCCTAACACCTAACAATTTCAGTTAGAGAAAGTACAAGCGCATTTAAATTAGTTTTAATAATAACAAAGATAAAAAAATTATAAATCTATTGTCACGATATAACGACTTTAACGTAGTCTCTGTTAGTCTTGAAGTGACATCAAATCCAGAACCAAAGCGAAAAAAACAAGAAACAATAAATCCTATTTAAAAACGGGTTGTGGACCAGGAGATATGAAGGAAAGTACAAATAAGGAAGACAAAGTAATAGAAACATTAGGTAATTTGAATAAGTCCCTACTTATAAATATCTACTTACTTAAAAGGAAAACTTAAATTTTTTAGAAGGCGAAGAGCTAACAGAGGGGAATATTATTGTTCCAGAAGCAGGATTATCGGTCACATACCTAAGAGAACCTAGCTGTACGAAAGCCAGTTACAACGTACAGTACAATCTTGTCAATTGTAGCACTAGCCTGAATAATTTCAACGAAAATGGAAAAAAAAGTAAAAGAAATAAAAATGTTACAGCGTCGGAAGAAGCATCAAATAAATTAATCGAATTGGAGAAAGAAAAAGTCGGCCTAGGTAACAAAAAAATTTTACAATGAAAGAATTACAATTTTGAAAAAATAATTGCTATGGCGCTAGAAAAATTAGGAAGTATTTTTGGTTGGGATTAGAATTTTTTGTCATGATTTTTGTTAATGTAATAATTATAAATTATAATTAAATTTGTTAATTATTCTTTGTCCTATTCTTCTTCTTTCAGCTAAATGTTGCTCCGTTCCTTGTCGATTACTGTTAGGAAATTGAATTTCTCCTGGTTCGTTAATATAATAATTTTCAACTTCATTATTCATATCCTTACATCATTATAAATGGACACATTGTTGTGCTTTACAAATATTATGTAATACAGCGCAGGTACAATCTTTTCAACATTACTAGGAGTATAATGCAGAACTCGGTGTCTCGTATACACCTAAATCTATATTTTAGACCACCAAAATCTATATCTTGCGTTAAATCTATATTCAACAGTATTTTGAGGATGTTCAGGGGCACTAGATTTATTATCCAATGCCTAAGTGAATATCCAGAATCATTTAATAAAGAAAAAATTACGGCTTTTTTCCAGTGGCAGATTCTGCAATAAATTGTTTACTTCACTCTATTGTAAAACATAGCTATCATGGCTGCTTCCAGGATCTCTAGAATTCATATGAACTATTCTCAATTCTTTGTCAAAAATCAGAAATACGAGTTAATAAATCATTGATTGGGCCTCAGATAATACTACTAAACAACAAAACATTTGACAATTTAAAGTGGTATCTTGTTGTGTTTATGTATAAATGCTCACCTTGCGCGGGAGGAATTATTGCTAAGTGCGTGCAATCCTTACAACTTACAATTCCAGGTGAAGCAAATTTGTTGAAAAATCTAAAAAAATACAAATTATAGGTAAAATTTTAACTTGCGTCTCCAAGCTCATGCCTAATATTTGCAAAATGTATGTACCTATTGAGAATATCTGGCTGGTTTAAGACAATAATCACTTGTCGAATGCTTCTAGATACTGATGCCTGGCTGAATACAACAGCAAAATTTGTTGTTGCAGCTACAGAAGTTGATTTCCAGTGTATCAAGAGGTTTAGTTCGAGTCATCTAAGAAGTTTATGAGATTTAAGTTTACCTAGGAAGATTTATACTTAAAGAGTTGGTGATATCCGAAGTATCTCCTACGAATCCTTTTGAAGAAGGCCTCTACAGTCACTCCTGAAATACTACCTCCTTTATATCAGATAAGTCTCTAATAAATCATTTAAATTTGAATAAGTAAGTCTCTGTGAATTAGAATTTGTCGCTGCCTTATCTGAAACCTTATTTAATTATAATATCTTAATGATTAGTGATTTTCTATATTTTCATCACTTATCGATTGTCAAGTTTAAAAAGTTTTAAAAATAGTGTCTCTCAACATTCTTTTTCAAAGTAATACGAGTTGTTTAATAACCTCCCCAAATAATAAGAGCTTAAAACACTATAAAAATAGATAAAATAACAAGATCATATTACACCAATATCCAACTGATAACTTCCTCCTGTCATAAAACGGAGTGCTACTAAACGCTAAAATGCGAAAAATTATAAAATTAATAATATTTTATGTATATCATCCAAATTATTAAAATCTGAGAACTCAGTTTTCTCTATACAGTCAGTCAGTCAGTCAATGCAGTGTTTTTTTGTAGATTCGACAATAAAGGTTCAATAAGAGCCGCCAAGTTAGTAACATCGTCCTTTCGCAAACGAAATAGCTTGATAAATTGATTATCTGAATATTTGAAAGGATTCTCCGGGTTATAGTAGCGTGGGATCTCGCGATATTTAGCATCTTCAATGTTTTGAATAACATTTTAATTTTTAATAATATTTAGGTCCACATTTTAAGTGTTTGACTTATCAATGTCCAGAAATGTTAGTCTTATATGTCAAAACTAGCGAACAGGAAAACGCTGTTCATCTGTAACTTTTTGAAAGCGCTTTACGTGTTTCAAATGAGGACAGCACAGCAAGTAGAGAATACCAAAACGTTATTACTATATAATTTTGTGAGTTGTTCGTCACGTTTCTAGAGAGACGCACGTTAAGCGCTTTCAAAAACGTTGGTTAGAGCTGATACCGTTATCAAAAAATTAAGTAAAAAAAATAAATTAAATAAATTAAAATTCAGGTGCGACATCGAACGTTTTTTGTTTAAATTACCTACACTTTATTAGTCCTCAATAACATATCGAAAAATGGCTCTTCGAAAAACTGGCCCTTCGTAAAACCATCCGTTCAAAAAACAGTCCTAGATTCGAATGTGTTGTCTCGAAGAGGATAGGGCGCTGGTAGTGTTTTCATATGTAGCATAAAGTCAAGTGAGTTGTTTTTCTTTAGTTTTTAAGTTTAATGGTCATTTCTAATTAAAAAGAGTTTAAAATAATTTTGTTTTGCCTCCCTCATAGTTAATATTTATATTCGAAGTGTATCACTTGTTTTTATAATCTCCTAAACTATCGCCTTTCATCATTTTGAAACGTCAGTTTGATGTGGTTCTTAATAGACTTTTTAGTCCAAGAGCCCGTGAGAGCCAGACCTTCGGAATTTTATAAAAGCTGAGAGTTCTTCTGTGTATGTCCCCAATACAGGTAAGAATGATCCCCGCCCATGAAACCTGAGTAGTGGTGGCTTTGACAGGTAACAGGTAGCAAAGGTCCACCTCAAATTTATTAATTTATAAAACTCAATTTTTTTATACTTTATTCGTAATAATATTAAAACTCGCGTTGCTCATTGCCAGACACTTGATATGGTTACAACCCTCTGCCAGACACCCCTGAACTAATATAATTTGTAACTATACATACGTTATATTATAAAAGCTAAATTTTATATATATTGTTATGGGGGATGTTTTTTGTGAAATATATAGCACTACGTTGTGACGTTATAATTGTAATGAGTTTTAAATAATTTAAATCACGAATCATCATCCCCCATACAAATACTTAATGCTCCGGCTGAAATGTTATCTAATGCAATTAATGACACGAAATGACTCAATTCTTTTAACTAATGGGTTTAAAAATTTTCATCCATGTATTTAAGACACTTACCTCTGAACCTCGTATATTGTCAGCTCTTGTATAGAAATAAAAAATAAGTAAAAGTTTGAGACTCTGTGTATAACTTGTAGTTTTATTTAAAATAATTGATATCAGGGTTTAGTGCGAGTTCAAAAATTCTTTGTAACTAATGTGGGAAAAAGAAACAGAATATTGTTACATAAATGTAAAAATTAACATAGAAACAAAAATAATAAAATAATTCGTCATTTAACGATCGATTCTTGGATCGAAAATGGCGCATTATACTATAAAAATACAGTTACCTATCGAACTTAATATTCTACCCACCGTACGGCGCTTTTAAATACGTAAGTAGATCTCTTTTGACCGGCTATATGGTAATTTCTCAAGACGGACAAGAGATAACTTATGTGAAATTCTAACCTAATCAAATCAGATAGTCCAAAAAAACATTATGATCCTATTTTATACAAAAAATAGAAAGATTTATCGTCTTTACGATTACTTAAGTACTCAATTTGGTAAGTACTTTCTTTGAATTGGTCACTAATGATAGTTTTTAATTGAAATACCTGTATAGCACTGTGAAATATAAGATGTCCTAGTGTTAAACTTATTTCTTTTCAGCGTCCATAACAGAAGGATGCTACAAGTACCTGGGGAACTGGAGGCCTTACGTCTTGTATGCCAATGCATACAGCAGTGATCGACGACTTCCTGGGGACTCTTCTTCGGGCAGTTTTACATAATATTGCGTGGGTAAGCTAAATTTAATATTACCTTTGACATTTATACACTAGTTAATCGTTTATACATAAACATTGAAGATTTAATATTTCTGTCTCTTTATTTTTAGGAAAAAGGAGTTTGGAGAGGAAATTAGAAGGAAAAAATTTTTGTGTCCTTCCTCTTTCGTTACTTTTCTAGCACTCTCTTTTGTTTCATCAACAAAATTCTGATTTGGATTTTTGAATCAAGTTGGATGAAAAAGTAATTAGCCAATCAAAATTTTGACAGTTTAGTTACATCTTTAAAACTAGATTATTGGATTTTTAAAGGTGAGTTTATTTAAACGGCTTATTTCATATTTTCGATGATAATTTATCGTTCATTAATTAATAGGTTATTTTGAAATCCATGTTGTAATTTTTTTACAAATTTTCATTTTAAAAATTATAATTTTCGTGTGGTAACATTGTCTCACTACATTTAGTTACTTTTGATCTTGTCAAATTTATCACTATACAGGGTGTAGTCTAAATACTTAGATGAAACTTTTTTAAATTTATTTCTTTGAAGACTTTTTATCATTAACTTGATATTCTTGGGATTCCGTGTTTCATTATAACATATTATTTGGACAACTATTAAATAATGTTTCCTTAATAGCCAGACAATTTCGAGGGTTATATCGTCCTGCCAGACGTATTAAATGTGTACAATAGTTATGAGTGAGAGGAGCATATGCAGCAACGGGTGTGAGTGAAATAGAGCGTGCAGTCTATTGCGATATTTTACTGCGCATCAGCTGCTCATTGTGTATTATGTAGTGCGCGGTTATGCTCATAGTAAACGTACATCAAACGTATATTAAACGTTGTATTATTTTTCTGTGTAATTTATAAAATAAATGTGATCTAGTGTAATAAAAAGTTATCATGAGTGAAGAAGAAGTAAAAGTAGTTTGCTTTGTCTGTAAAAAAAGTGGCGAAGATCTAATAATATTTACCGAGGAGACTTTAAAAAAGTGTCAGAATATTCTAAAATTAAGAAAAATACACAAACTTAAATACAAAGAAGTTATTTTACCTAGTGAATATACAGAGAGTGGTTATCACAGATCATGTTATAAAGCATTTACAGGTCTAATGAAAAAATACTTCACCTCTGAACCTATAAGTACTGAAAAAAAAAACAAGCAAGTTGTGTTGTTACAGACAAATCATTTCCAACTTCATCGTCGACTCCAGATTTGAGTTCAGAACCACCTGATTTAGAGTCTTCGTCAATAGAATCTTCAAAAATATCTCAACAAATTTTATTTTTCCAGTCAATAGAAGCACAACCGTCAACATCTCAAGATGAATCTTATTTACTGCCTGTACCTACAGAATCTTCCACAACATCTCTGCCGACTCCAATTTCTGACTCAATAGGTCTACAATCTTCAATTCTTAAAGATTTTTCTGGTGTTTTTGAACCGGATGTTAGTGATAATAATATTGTAACTCAGGACGTAAATACTTCGACTGATAATATTGCTGGTAATAATGATAACGAGGTTGTTTGTATATTTTGTGAAAGGAAAAAGAAAAAAGTGAGATCAAGAATAGTTCCGCTTCATGCAGCATATGTCCATCAATTTAAAGCTAGTATTAAACCCAATATAGAAAATTATGAACAGTATAAAGATTTTCTAAATAAATTGGATAATTTTTCTGGTCCAAAAATTTACTATCATACAGAATGCCGCGTTTATTTTAATAATACTGTATCTTCATTAAAAACAACGCGTAGCAAAACGAAGTGGCATTATCACCGAGAATATCACCAAATAGTTTTTAATGAAATCAGTACAATCATTAAGAAAGACGTGATTAAAAAAGGACAGTGTTTTTTAATAATGTATTTACATGAATTATATATCGATTCATTAGAAAAAATTTTCCAAGAAAATTCAATTGACATGACAGTCACTTTTACACCACACCACCTTGAAGAACAAAATTTGAAAATATTCTCTATGGATATAAAGTTCCTTACTGTTCGCAATAAAAAAATAAAAGATCGCAATAGACTGCACGCTCTATTTCCCACACACCCGTTGCTGCATATGCTCCTCTCACTCATAACTATTGTACACATTTAATACGTCTGGCAGGACGATATAACCCTCGAAATTGTCTGGCTATTAAGGAAACATTATTTAATAGTTGTCCAAATAATATATATATAGGATTTAGCTTTTATAATATAACGTAAGTATAGTTACAAATTATAATAGTTCAGGAAAGTCTGGCAGAGGGTTGTAACCATATCAAGTGTCTGGCAATGAGCAACGCGAGTTTTAATATTATTACGAATAAAATATAAAAAAATTGAGTTTTATAAATTAATAAATTTGAGGTGGAATTTTATGCACCTTTGCTACCTGTTACCTGCCAAAGCCACCACTACTCAGGTTTCATGGGCGGGGATCATTCTTACCTGTATTAGGGACATACACAGAAGAACTCTCAGCTTTTATAAAATTCCGAAGGTCTGGTTCTCACGGGCTCTTGCTCGTAAGGTCATATTCATGAAGTTTTTTTCCTTACCACAAAATTTTATTGTACTTCTAGGTTAGTGCAAAGTTCAATTAATTAATTTTAATATTTAAACCAGTGTTAGTTTTATCAAAATAGTTCTCTTAGGTTTAAGGAGTAATAATCTTTATTTTTAAGTTACATTATATAAATAGGTTTATTCTACAAATCGATACATTGTAGGGTATTTCTTTTTTAGTTTTTAAATGATTAAGTAAACTGGCTATTGTGTAGCTCTTTTATGTATTATTATTTTTAACAATATTTTGCAGACTAGTTTGCATAATTTACGGAGTCCCCAATTGTTTGAACAATTAGAGTCCAAATTCAAAGAACAGCATGTCTCAACATAACAGGAGCCATGAAAACAATACCAACCAGAGCCATGGAAGTAATTTTTAGTCTCATTTCCCTGGATAGTTACATCAAGGAGGTTGCTCTGACGACAATGACACGCCTCCGCACGGTTAAAATAGAACCTGATGTAGGATCTGGTAAGCCGAGACGTGGCTTTTGGCAGGAGGTGCTCGATACGCTCCCACTGCTTCAAACGAACATGGACTCCATCTCACCGATATATATCTTCCATAAGCCATATAAAGTTGTAAAAGAACAAATAGAAGAGCTGGAAGTGGCAGGTAAGATTCATATCTATACCGACGGTTCTAAAACAAAACAAGGAATGTGGAATATACTTCAAATCCTTTAACCTTAACATAAAATGGGCTGTGAGCAATAGTACCAGTGTAGTTCAAACAGAGCTCATGAGGATTCTCATAGCAGCAAAAGAAATCACCAGAAACAATATCACTTAAAGGAAAATGTTTATCTATACAGATAGCAGACAAGCATTACTCACCCTGAACAGACCTTGAATTTATTCAAAGTTAGTACTAGAATGTCACGAAGTTTTGGTTGAAATATCTATCAACAACGTGGTCACCTTAAGATGGATCAAAGGTTATGCCACATCGAAAGGTAACCGTCTCGCTGATTCACTGGCCAATACTTTTTGGACCTCGGCCTTCTATTGGTATGACAAAATCGGTAGTGACAGACCTAATTAAAGAACATTCTCGTAAAATTCAATAAAAGATGGGATAAAACAAGTAAATGCATCGTTGTCAGGGAGCTTTGAAGTTATCCTAACAACATGGCAGCAAACAAATACTTGACTATGACTTTACAGAATTTGCGCCTAGTCACAGGCATTCTGACTGGTCATTTCCAAGTAGGGAAGCATCTCCGTATCATGGGGCTGTCAGAATGATCAATCTGCAGAGGGTGCGAATAACGCTTTCATTTATTAGGAGATTTGTGTTCGGCGAGTACAGTTCATCAAATTTCTAGAGGTGTTCGACGCCCAGACAGAGAACGCGCTACGTGTGACTAAGATAGCTATTGTACAGTCTGCTAAACAAGTTATTTTAAATAGTTTTTAATATTTTTAGGTAATTAAATTTTAAAAGTGTGGAATAGTTTAGGGATTAAATTGGTCTGATAAGACTTTCTTAGAACGTTTTTAAAAGCAGCTAAAGATAGTATGTAGAATTGAAAATAATTATTATGCCATAAAAGGTGTTTTGGAATTCCTTCAACCTTTTGAAATTGAGTCAGAAAATATAAATTTTATAGGATAGCGGAAAATACCTATAATTTTTTTGTAGGCCTTTGTAAATCGTGGAAATAATTTATATTTTATTTCTACCTTATTAAGGAAAATGGTACCTATTATTAATAGCGGTTGTTTCTGAAACATTACTAAAATTTTCGAAATTTTGTTTTTCTACAAAATAATAAACTATACTATTTAGAAAAAAATTTATTTCTCTTATAATTTTATAAAAAATAACAGGGGAATATTTACATTTCTTGATCTATTAAACAAAACGATAAATTATTTCGACGAATGACACCATGTTCTAGTACGGAAGCTAGCTTTACATTTTTGTTGGTGGTTTCATGGGTTTCATATCAATTTTTTGTAATTGTAGTTTACACGTACATATACCTCTTAACACTTGTTTGCTTTATTAAAAAAGTGTGTTGTTGTGATTTACGTCGAAATAAGTCAAAAACAACTTGAAACCACATATAAAATCAAAAAGGAGAAACGGAAAAAAATTGAGCCTGTAAATGAACACAACTCAGAAACAAAAATAGCTATCTAATAATAAAAAAATAAAATTTGATTCTTGTGCAGCTTCATCTATATCATTAACTGTTTTTGGTTTTTTAATGGTTTTTCTTGGTGATGAAAATTCCGATATCTCACGGTTATCGATTCTTTTTTTCTCTCCAGAAATTCGGAAGACAGTGTTTTTAGATACTCCTGTGGCTGCAGCAACACGATCATTTACATTTTTAAATGGTATTGAAGGTGAATTAAAGTTTCCTTCTCTTCTCATAAACTCTATAACATTGGCTATTATTTCGCGAGATTGACTGTTAATCACGCGGCCTCTTAATTTGCTATTAAACTCCATACTTAGGTTCTATTAAACTGTAATGAGCAAAAAACACAAACGAAAATAAAAGAAATGTTTTAGCGAAATTTACATCTGACATTTACGTCTGAATAAAATAGTGAAATACTTGATGCGCAGAGTGTACTTTCATTGCGTAAATCCGTCGGGATGCCTGTCAGTAGTGCTCTCTCTGTCTAGCCGTCGAAAGCCTCTAGAAATTTGATGAACTGTATTGGCTAACACCGGCCGATATAAGAGAAACACCTCTTGTCGACGTTGTCAACTACATAAAATATGTAGGCTGGCTTACGAATTAGAAGGTGCCTATCGTCTTAGAAGGATGCACATTGAGCATAGTAAGGCCTAAGTGCCGTAAGGTAACCCACTCTCCACATGTTACAGAATCAGAGTCCAGCTGAGTACCCATGTAAATTAAATTATCCTGTTGAAAAATCACAATTTACAGTTTGTAACATTAAATTGTTTGGAAGGAATTCAGCGCTTCTTTTAATCCTGAGCAATACAAACATTAATTGAGATCTGTCCAGTATGATACCCTGGATCTTACAAGGTTAGTACTTTCTTTTAATCATCACTAAAGGTGCCTCTGCTGTAAATACCTACAATGCTGTTTACAGATAGTTTAAAGGGGCTGCTAAGTTTCATTGTTTAAAACAACAAATGAGCTTGATCCTTATTCTGCGAAAAAGGATCTGGCGCGATATAATTCTCACACCACAAAAGGTCTAGATGTAACTGTTATCAGGAACACCTCTGACAGATGAAAATTTAGCTCTTTGGCTAAGATTAGGAAAAATTATCAGAGTTCTAATTTAAGAAGAAAAAGCGATAACAGTAATCTGACCACATTCGACATTTTGGATAACCTTTATTCAATATAAAATTAATTTATTTCCAGCTATTTACAGTCCACGTTGTATATACTAATTCGATAACTTACTGAGGTATGCTTGATTTGTTCATTCATAAACACAATGTTACATTGCCCTTGTTAAAAACATCAGCGTTCATTAAAAGATACGTGTCAAAAGGGTATGAAAATCGGGTAGGTCGGCCTCCTACCTCAGCAAATCTCATCAGTGACATGACGAGCCCTTCTGCGTATCAGAAATGAAAACATAACTTATTAACCGGCATAATTCTTTTTATACGGAAGAGCGCTCACACAAGCGGACTGTCAGTTACTCGTTTGTTATGTATGCAAACCAAATTGAGAAATTAACCGGAGGCATGCGAGCACAGTAATGAACCTACAATGGCGGTTGGTTGTCATTTTTGAGAAAGGCGAACGTGAAATGGGGATATGTTTACGTGCAAACCAAAATCTATTGTTTATCTCTTCTTCTAGTTATCTCTGTTAGTTGTGTTAGCTGTTAGGGTAGTTTTACAGTTCGTAATGTTTCTTGCTAGTAAAATTGCAGCAATTCGTATTGTAATTGGAGAAAATAGTGACTGGAAATTTAATGCCGCACGTAGCTGCAATTCTGGGGAAAAATGGCTAAAATAAATTCTGCCAATCAGTTTAAAAATACAGTTTATTACATTTCTAACATTTGACATGTTCCGTGTAATGTAATGTGTAACTATGAATGATAGAATAAACAATTATATACGTTTGAAAATTTTAATATTAAATCGTATCTTCTTCAATTTGCTTGTTATATTGGCGAACATGTTTCCTAAATACATTGTACATTTGTTATGTATGGGTATTTATACACTGAGAGCTAAAAAGATCTATTTTACTCCCTTCTGTCGCTAACTAAATGTAGAATTTGTGTAGGTCTTTAATTTAAATTTGATCCCATCATAAATAAAGAAATAGATAATTGGAGGATATATATTTTCTATTATATTTTTTAAATGAACGACATATCGTGTGAATAAAAAAACTCAAAATCGGAATAATAATAATGAACATTTGATTCCTGGTAACGAGGTGATGAGCTCCATCTTTTGTCTTTATAGAACTGCCATGTAATAAAAGTTTATCAAGGGATACCGGGTGTTTGACGTGTTTGACGCGTGTGACGCAAGTGTAAAGAAGATATTGCTGTTCCATTAAAACAATGACGCAAATGCGATTATACATTTTTCAGGAGAGACGAAAAACGAATATTAATACTTTCAAATTTGGGCACATAAATCACAAAGAACTTGTTTTAAATAGCAAATACGACATTTAACCATGGAGTAAGTAATGTCTTCCTTAAATTTGCAGACACAACTGATTCATATGTATTTATTTTTCAAAAGTGGAGGGGCAAACATTAATATTTGAAAACTGTCGTAACTACCATCTAATTGGTCTATACGTATAGAGAGACTAATTTGGAAACTAATGACATGTTATAAACAATTTTGCACCTGCGTCATTGTTTACCGGAACGGCGATATGTAGTGCATATAAGTTGTTACGGGTCAGAAATTATTCTTACAGATAATTAACTGAAATAATTATAGGGGTTTACTGAATATTAAATAAATAAAAACTCACCTAAATTTGTAAATAATAATCAACAAGATTTATAGTTCTTTTTCCATTTATTAAAATTAACCTATACATATGTATATTGTTTATTTACATGCTAATGTCAAATCTTGACCATGACCTTGTAATAGTTCTTCTCTTCTTTATTAAGGTGTAACTTAATTAATTAGGTCAATAATTAACCTATTTATTGGCAGTTTAGTCATCTTAATCAGATACATCTATTTTATTGGTATCTGAGGTTTTATCTCTCTCTGGGTTCTCTGTCTTTTTCTTTTGGAGGTTGGTTTCTGGGCCATGTGGTCTAATTTAATTTAAAACGAATATTTCGGATTTTCTACCACCCCTGAAAAAGAATTACATCAAAATCATTCAAATAAGTATTGCTTTTAAAAATCAGGACGATTTTTTATTACACACAAAGTGGATTGGCGATACTTAATAAAAAAAAGGCCCTACCTTATTCGGTAAGTCACCCAGACACAATTAAAATTTGTATGCATCTCTATATCTTGCTTATTTCTGCTTTTAGGCCTAATACGTATAATACGTGTAATACATATAATTCTTATAGTAATTACAGTACTTCCAGTAATTATAGTACTTATATAAGCATATTATTATTGCTATCCCTTCCATTGATATCACCCGCATGGCAAGGTTCTTCTAGGCTTAATACAACTGCTTAGTAGCTGCTTTCTGGCATTTATTTGGAATATCGCAGTGCTGCCTGTGGCCCATCGATAGATCCAGGAGGCTTCGAGAAAGCAAGTAAGATCTTTCCATTTCACTATCTAACTGCTTTAACAAAAACCCGCTGCTTTTCACAAGACCACACACACCTTAAAAGGAAAACAAATATTGAGTTATTATATATCATAAATATTTATTCTAGTGACTATCTAACAATTTACATAAAGATTACAATAAAAGGATATTTGTACTCACCTTCTCCCTGTAAACAAGTAGTACTACTTGGGCTTGAGGGGTATCATTCTGGCTAAGACCCATGTAGTAAATATATACTTTTCACCAAATATTAATTGATATTCTTAGTGATACACCAGATTGTATAAAAGACACGTTG